CATTAGAGGCCATTAATGAATCAGCATTTTGAAATCATAGAAGCAGGACTCCGGAAGAAAACAAGAAGTTATTGGAATAAATTTATTTCAAAAACGAAACCAACATTACAAGTACCAGAGAATTCTTCTGTTTCTTACAAGCTATTAGATCTACAAAATTGTAAAGAACACACTAAACTACAAGGCTGATCTGCATAAAAATAAAAATGTAAAATATTAAAAACTCCCAGCAACATAAAGCAAGTAGCTTAAAATAAAATTCTAAATATATCTCAAATTACACCCGATCTTGGGCTAGGACATATAAATAAATAATGGAGGCAATAAACCAAAAATGACTAGAAAAAGAACATACATTTTAAATCTTCTAAAAATACCACACTAATGTGTACATAAATTAAATAAAAGAAACCACTAGCTGGGGCTAAAATATGTATGCATGAATAGAAATTAAAGGTAACATATGCATATTACAAATTGACATAAAAAATTCAAACAACAGGGACTCTACTCATGGGATGGCTGTAAAAAAAAGAGAAAGAAATCATTAGAAAAAAAAGCATTTTAAATAATTTAGGTAGCATGAATTTTTTTTTTTTTCAATTCTATTCAATTCCCGGTTAACCAATTCCATGCTTCCAACTGGGATCAAAGTAACCAACTGCTAACATTTAAAACTAACAGAAAAATCAAGGCAGAAACGTGCTGAAAAACAGCGCAAAATGCACGGATAAGAAAACACACAGGACAAGGCACTGTGTGCTCTTTTTCCTTTGTCTGGTTTTCGCACCGTTTTTCAACATGAATTCTTACCAACTAGCCCAGCCCAACTGTCCATCCTTGTAATCAGAAACATGCTTGCCTTCTCCCCTTGTGGCAGCCCCTCAGTCACTCCTGAGAAGAGGCACACTGCTCCTGCAAAAAAATAACACAAAAAAGTTGGTTGCATTCAGAAAATGGGTGCCTATTTCAGGGCAGAGAGTGTCATCAAGATAAAAAAAGAAATGCCTACATCTGTCCTAGCAGTTTCACCACAGTTTCTTTGCATGCACAAGCCATTCTTTTCATCCAGTTTAGACTTTTACCGCAAAGTGTGACCTACCCACAGAAGACAGTGGATACGCGACTTATTCTTTTCTGGCAAGGTAGGCGGCTGTTTTCGGCCACTCACTTTTTCCCACTTCAACCTTCTATTTATTCATGCGTGAAAGGCACTTTCTTAAGAGGGAAACAGCTATTTTCCGCAGCGCCTTTTTTATTTTGTATTTGTAGATTTAACTTTGTTTTCATTTTATCCTAAGAGAATAGCTTTCTTTTTAAGAACATAGATGTTCTTAAAAAAGACGTGCCTGCCCTCTTCGTCAATTTTTTGTAACCGACAGAACCGTGGACCTGTCGGATCTTTGACATGCAGTATATTACTGTATGTCGAATATCCGGCAGGTCCACGGTTCTGTCGGTTATAATAAATTAACAAAGAGAGGAGACACGTCTTTTCTTTTCCCCGTATCATGGGCCACGGAGACAGATCACTGCCTCAAGGACGGCTTCGTCTTGAAGCAGAATAGGTCTCTTCAAGGACGAAGATATATGTACGCTTTTGAATGAACGTGCATTCATCACTGCACCTGATGATCACAGCTTTTAAAAGTGTCGTTAGTGTTACCGTGTCTTATTGGCCTCATTAACAGAAGTCATCATTTACTAAAAAAAAAGAATAGAAGGTGACAAAAAAAGGTTCCTTCCTTTTATATATATATATAAGTTTATAAGTTACAATAAATATTAAAACACTGCTATCCTCCCTGCACTAAAAAGGAAAATATTTCTACTGCTCAAATAGGCTACGTTCAATGAAACAACTTCGATGAAATGGCGTTCAATGAAACAGCGTTCGATAAAACTGCGTTCAATGAAACAGCTTCGATGAAACAATGTTCAATGAAACGGCGTTTGATGAACTGTCCGGACCCAGGGGCAATGTCAATGAGCCTCATATTTTCTACAATGTCAAGCTCATTGCAGACAATGTCATAACATGGTGTTCTTTCATTGGCTAAATAAATTTCTTAATACTTAAAAATGTCTTTATGTAAAGTAGACTAATGCCTTTGTTTGAAATCTGGGCTTGTTTTAGGATGCAAAAAGTATTTTTTGGGAGTTTAAGCAAAATTAGAAATATCATATTACCATTTTCTTGGTCCTAGCTGGTGCATGCCTGACCGATTCAGCAGCAGCCCATTTGGCGTCGGCTTCCTGCACGATGATGGCTGGCTCATTGTTTTCTGCCTTCTGTTTAAAGCAGGTGCGCACAGCTCCTGTTTCAAAAGTATATAATTACAACACAACGTCAGCTACCACAGTGAAATATCGACAATTTCATGCCCTACTTCAGCATAACTTGGCAGACATCGGTAACTATGAAATCAGCCAGGGTGTCTAGCAAATTCCTCCTTTTAAGTTCCCCAGCTTTTCCAGGTTTTAAATTCCCTGTCCATAACAGAAGTTTGGAGATGTGGTACGAACTGCTACTAAACACCTCATAAGTGAACACCACTCACAATTTAAAACAATTTATTGAAATCGGTCTTTATGTTGCTCAAGAAGTCAGACTTACAAAGTTTCGGGCAATGTTATTTAGCACAGCCACGTCAATGCACGACTCTCCTGGCTTCGTCGCACACCACCGCATTACTCGCCCTGGCCATTTTCCCTGATTTGGCTAACTTTTTGATTATCTCCCTGACAATTCCCCGACTTTTCCAGATGATCCGAAATTTCCTGACAATTCCAGCTTTTCCAAGGTGCTAGACACCCTGTCAATGAGCCAGATAGCTCGGGAGCGAGGCATGGGACAAAACTCCACTGTAGTGAGCTTATGTGGGCTGCTGTCACATGCTTCACCAGGACACAGTTTCCTTTCATCTAAAAGAGCCAAATCCAGAAAACTGAAACCAAGCAAATTTTTGTATGAATTCAAACTATATTCGTTGGTCCATCGATCTCAAATGCTACTACAGTGAAATCGGTCAGAGTACGCTATAAAAACCACAGCAGAGGTGGCTGCGGCACATGGCTCAAAGCTATACTGATAAGCAAACATACCAATTTATCTGTCTTGCTTCATGTGGATTTCGCCTTTTTAGAAAAAAAAGCTCCTCACTTGTGTGCCCTGTTTAGCTATAGCCATTTGTTGTTAAAAGGCAACTCTGCTTAATTCCAAAACTTTTGGAATTATAAGACTTCAAATAAAAATAAAAAATAAATTTAAAAAGAAATATAAAAATAACTATTTTATTTCATGCATTGGTGGAATATTTCCTATGCAATTTTGCTTTAAACATAGCCCAAATAAAACCCGAAACATCGGCTTCTACAGGCAACGATGGCAGAGACGGAGGAGACATGACCAATCCCATGGTACAAATGATGATGTGCTACCCCTGCGAGGACGACGCAAACAGACGGGCCTGAGTGTTGTCTGCTCCGTGTCGGACGACATCTGCACCACTGCAACCTACGCTAAAGCCAAGTTTTCTCAAAGGAATAAATATCTCAGGAACATTAGTATGCAGCGAGGTCTACTAAATAGTACATAAATAAGCCATTGAGTATGTGAACATTGTGCAAACAATGCCATTATTATTTAACAGAGGTGAACCATGAGAAACGTGCACATCCAGGTCTGTGCCAATCATGTGGACACCGCTGAACCAACTTTTGGAGAAGACATTGCTCAAGTCAAGGACTGACTGTGCATGGAAAAGACAAAGAAAACGTAACAATGCACCTGACATAGTAAATTGATGTTTGGTGCACTGAAGCCGTAGTAGCAACTGCGCTGTCGTTTGCGCCTACATTGTCAGCTAGGGTTAGCAGTTTGCTGATCCATTTCATAAAGATTTAAATGGAGATAATAATGGACATGTGGTTTTCCTAGATGATACTGAAGAAGCCTTTGTTTTCTCTCACTAACAAAAATGAGACAGAGTCTGCAAAATGGCGGGCCCTTGCGCGCTGCCATCTTCCAGCTCGGGTGCGCCCCAGATAATCCGATTATGAAGGCTTGCTAAAGCGTCACTAAGCTAATTGACAGATTGGTACCCTGAGAGCATGTTTCCCTACCCATGGTGGCTAGACTACTTTTGGAAACATGACTGCTTGCAAACGTGTATAGCTGATTGTGTCATTCAGCTACATGGTAATGTACCTTACACCAAAGAGTGCTCGGTGGTGTAAAACAAAATGTACCACCTTTCTTTAAGAAGTGGTCAATCCTAACGCTGCCCAAACCATTCCACATATAAAGCAGAGGACAGGTTCATAAAAAGTGCTAGGGCTAGAGTGCACAAACAGCAAGCATTCTAATGTATCCTTTGACCAGAAAGCATAGATAAATAAACAAAATAAATTAAATTGTAAAATAAAAATGACTAGTAGAGCAGAATTATGCAAACATGAAGTTGCAGCAATACAAAGCAAACATATGCACCGTCAAATTAAAAATATCCACTTCACCATCCCTTAGGCTATAACTGTCCTTGTGCGAGGAAGCATACCACAACTAGCAGCTTTGTAAATTAAAAATGACTAGATAAAAAAAATGAAAGCCGTTTACAACTCCCTGTAACGCTAATTTAGAGTGCAGCTCTAGAGGAGAAGGGAAGGGTTCCGCGGAAAGGGTATACCCCTCCTCCCTGCCACACCTCCCTCTGAGCGGCGGCGCCGTAACCGTGAGGTCACGTGACCCTCCTGACGGGGGTCACGTGACCCCGCGAGGACAATTTGGCATGGTGCCGAAACGTCACCTTGCCGAAACGTCGCCGCGGTTACGGCGACGGCGACACCACTCAAGCCGGAAACGGGCGCCTAAGAGCTGCGCTCTAAAAGAAACACCAAAACAGCAGGTGCTCAATAAACAATATGGATACCATTCATTATCACAGTTGCGGCTAACCAAGCTGAGGCTAATCAAATAAAATAAAAAATCTAAATGCTGGAAAGCGTTAAGAAATTGCAGCAACAAAAAGCAAACATACACGTGTGCATTTTTGCTTGGGCTCTGGTGCACGTTCTGGAAGTTGAGGGGCTGGCTGAGTGTTACGTCGTTCCTGCAGAAGAGGCAAGCTTGATGAAATAGGAGGGCAAATGAATCCCAAATACAAAGGTGTTGCAGAAATTTAGGTGCATACATCTTGGTCATAGAAGTCCTCATCCTCAAATGAAGAAAGAGTATGCTGCAGTCTCTTCCTTTTTCTCTTCTCCCGCTCTTCATTATTCAATGTTAGGTCGGACGTCGCTTCCGAATTTTTTTTCTTTGTACTTTGCATCTTCATATGTCACTGAAACAAGAAAGCCGAGCACACCAGTCAAATGTTTAACCACCACAAGCTTGTTTGCACCCTAAACTTTTGTTCATTAAATCAAATATGCTCGCTTTATGGTTAGACAGCTTTTAGGTTAAAGCCTGCCAACTTTTTCGGGCTCATGTATATAATCTGTGAGGATTGGGCCAGCTCAGGTTTATATTAAAGAAAACAAAAATTTTGTCGGGCTCGTGCTGGGCTCAAGCTTCTGTCTAAAAGTCTGTCGGGTCCGGGCCGGGCCCGAGCCGTGTCTCTTCAAGGCCAAGTCTGGCCGGGCCCGGAAATTAAATATTCTATTAGGCTCAGGCCAAACCCGGGCCGTGCCTCTACCGGGCCGGGTCTAGAAATTCTGGCTCGTGCAGTGCTCTAGCACACTCTACATTGGGTGAGCAGAGTCCGCGCTCCGCTCTAAGCAGAATTTATTGCCTATTTCTCTGCCCCAAGGTTCTCAACTCTTTGCTCAGGGCACTCAATGGCATTTCCGACTCATTTTCCATGACTGGGCTTGATTTTGGACAATATCCCCGATTTTTCCCGGTAATTAAAATTTCCCTGACAATTCCCGGTTTTCCCGGTTGCTAGACACCCTGCTATACTTACAACATGATGCCATCACCTGACAGGAGAATGTGGCCCAGTCAGTCGAGGGCTCTTCACGCTCTCTAATTGCCATCATCAACCGATTTGATTTGTAGGGTGGCCATGCCGTGCAGCCATTGCACACCCCACAGGTAGGGACAACTGCGACATCATTTTCCGCCAAAAAATGGACAAGAGAGTACATTTCCTGAAATCAACAAATAAAGCCGTTATTACCTTAAAGACCAGTCATAAGTCACTAAAAATACAGTTTTCGAATTAAGCACAACCGATGTACTATAGTTGCAAGCATAGATCACACTTGCAAGTGAAGTAGATAAAAAAACAGCATAGCCCTGGTTATCGAAAAAATAGTCAGAGTGCAGGCGAGCTGGTGTAAGTTGAACATGATTGTAAACCTGAGACTGGGGCAGAAAAGAGAACACAGCAGAAGGTAGAAAAAGGGGAGGCAACGTCTCAAACTCAGCTGCAAAGTTTATTTCGTACACGCCTTATATACCACAACTCCAACGCCGAATGGCGGTGGTTATGCTAGAATGTGACCCTTTGTGTGAGTGTTTCGCAGGAGAGGTCAAGGGAGATAAGAGAAGGTTTACCCAAATTTCATTGTCCTCTTGTCATATATATATATATTTTTTTTTGTAGAGACAGCATTGGAGTTGTGGTATATAAGGCGTGTACGAAATAAACAAATTTGCAGCTGAGTTTGAGACATTGCCTCCTCTTTTTCTACCTTCTGCAGTGTTCTCCTTTCTGCCCCAGTCTCAGGTTTACAATCATGTCCCTGGTTATATTGCAAGCAGACGCACTTCCACCTGATGTCCTGCACACTCCCCACTGAATACTGCATGGAGAGCCCTGTAGCTCTAAAAATTCCTAGCTCTGATGATGGCAGCTTTGAAGCATAAAGGTTGCCGAGATTTCGGAAAAACTGTCCGCAGATGCTACGGTTCCCATCTGACTCAATGAAGTTCCTAACAACAGCAATGTTGCCATACTTCAGTTGAACACAGTTGTCGGACGCCTTCAGAGAGAAATGTGTTCCGTCTAAAACAAGCTCACTGCACTGGGTTTTCTTGAAGCTTGGCGGCTCAGGTTGTTGCTTGAGCAGAGCACACTTCTGTTGCACAGAACTTGACACGGTGGTGGGATTCACTTCTGAGTGCCTCTTGATAACCTGCTGCAGTGCCAAGGAAGGACCCCTCACCAACTTCTTGAGCTTCCCAAGGAAGTTCTCAAAGGGAAAGGCCGAGAAGGTGTTGACAGGGCCGAACCGTCGAACGTCTTGTCAGGTGGATCAGGGAGTGCATGTTGTAGACATAAACCCCCTCATACAAGGTACCAGCTCCAGAAACAAACTCTCTCAAGAGAGATTCTGCAAGATCACAGTGTGTCAAAGAAAATTTGGGGCTGGCTAGGATGGTCATAACACAGCTCAGCTTTATGAAGTGTCCATAAAAGCGCTTTTCCAAATGGTTTCTAAGGACCACTGGCCCGGGGGAACTGATAAGGGGATAAAGGAAAGGGGGTTTTGAAGGCCGGGGATTTTGAAGAGGGGGAGGTACCGCGGGGAATTCGCAGCGGGGATTTTGACACAGGTTTTCTGAGATTAGGTTATTTCGTGCACCACTCGTATCACTCGACTCAGATTCACACTCGGAAGCTCGTTGGTATTCAAACTCTCCGGAAAAACTTGCATGTGCTGCCACGGCCTGTTGTCCAGGTGAAAGAGGGTATGCTTCCTCAGTGTCCACCGACTCCTCACTGCTCGTACCGCAACTTTCAAGTTCCTTGCGAACACTTTCGGCTACTCTACGTCTTTTTTGGCGATCGGATAGCTCTGATAGCGAACGCTTCGCCCGCTCCATTGTTCAGCACAAGTAGTAACAACAACGAAAATGAAACATACCTTTGTTTACGTTTCCTCCACGCCGAGAGATCGGCCGAGCGGTCCGATGAAACAGGCCTTGACGGCCTTGACAGCCAGGGAAATTTTAGAAGCGTATGGAATAAAGAAGGAGGGGGAACAGAACTGCGTGAGTCAAACTTCTGTGTATTTACATAAGAAGGAGATTACTTTCATGGACACGTGTTGATGCGAGTGTGTTTTTTGTGGGTGTTTTCTTCGTTGGGTCCTTTTCAATAAATATTCAGTTGTCAGTTCAGCGCTCGTCCTGTGTACTCCTTTTCCTCCCGTCCTTGTCGTATGCGCGCTGTCCGTTCAGTCCGTTGACATCATACTTGGGTAGTAATTCAATTACAGTAATTAAATTACTGTAATTTAATTACTTTTCCTAGTAATTTGTAATTGTAATAATTACTTTTGGCTGAAAGGAATTGTAATTGTAATTTAATTACTTTCTAGCATCAGTAATTGCTAAATTTCAGGCACAATTACAATTACTTTTGCAAGATTTTGCGGCGGTGGCGCTTTTCCCCCCTGGCCACGGCGACGAGAGCACAACCGAAGCAATAAAAGAGAGAGTTTCCCAACCTGCTCAAAATAAGGGAAAAGGGAGGCTGGGATAGAACGGAATGAAGGATTTTGTAGACTGCAAAACGATTTAATGAAGAATTTCAGAAATAATTTGATAAATGAGGGCTTCATTCGCGTCCGTTTTCGTTCCTGTCGTAGTTGAATCTGACTCTTCGTCTCGTTCGCTTCCTGTTGCTCCTGTTTCTAGGGGTCTTTCTTATTTCTCATTCCCACACGGGGGTATGGGGGTCGAAGTCGAGCTGGTTGGCTCCGATCACATCATCCGGTCGAGGCGGGAAGGTTCGAAGTTTTCCTTACGCGTCTTCGCCGCTAGCATATTCGCTTACATATTTCAGTCAAGTTTGGGGACTTTTTTGTTCATGTAATTATTCTCTTTTCTTTATGAGTTTTCACGTCTTTCTCCTCTATCTCGTATGTTGGTACCACTAACAGAGGGTCGTGCTACTCTAATGTCGAGGCGAAGAAGCGCAGTTTAGCAACAACAGTTGGAAGTAAGGCAGGGTGAGTCGTGTGAATTAGACCTGCTGCTTCTTTGCTTCTTCGCCTGACATGACGATCCTAAATTTATTATATATCTCAGGAGCTTTTTTTTTTTTTTTTTTTGGTGTTACCGTGCACTGAATTAACCCAGAATCCCTGGCAAGAGAGTTGCTGCTATTGTGACACTAGTTTTGTGGAAGCGACCGCAGTTCGCGTGCTACGGTTACCCACATCCGACATGTTACAAGTCCACAGACAGGGAGAGGCAGCGAATCACAGAGTTTTATGATACCAGTACTGTCGCATATTTGTTTCCTTGTATTATTTTTAAGTTTATTTTTTGTTGGTTTGACTTGGATACCATTTGCACAAGCTCTAAAGAGATTCACCTCGCACCTGTGAATTTTGTCGCCATTTATTTTTATTTTTTGAGAATATAAGAAATCAGAAGTTCATTACTCCAAACTATTAAGTTCTATAATCCATTTAACAAATTTCATAAAAGAAAAGTACAATGCGTGACATTTATACAGCGGCCATATAACTCGTTTACAGTTATATGGCCCAAGGTGGGTAACTCTCAGAAATAGGTAATTGTAAAGTAATTGCATTACTTTTAAAAAGTAATTTGTAATTGCAATGAACTACTTTCGCGTAGTAGTAATTGTAATTGTAGTTAAACTACTTTGGGGGCTAAGTAATTGTAATTGTAATTAAATTACATTTTGAAAGTAATTTACCCATGTATGGTTGACATACGGTGATACGGTCACGTGGTCAACCTGGCTTCGACCTTGCTTGGCTTGAGCTACTTGCACTCTTGGCGTCTTGGCTTGTCAACAGTGTCCGTAAACGAGTAAACGACTAAACATGAAGTTTCAAGTAGGAATAAACTGTGGAAATTTATCTGACAGTACTAAAATAAGTTTTTTTTAAGAGTTATAAAACATTACATCGATTGGAGAAGTTGGAAATTGGTATAAGCCGTACAGCCATAACCGTAATGCCGTACTAGTGTGCAATCATGGCGGACGATGGCGATCTTGCAACGTCTTGAGTGATCAGTGGATGACCTCAACCGTAATATCGGTAACGATAGTGAACTGTTAACATCGAAACGGTAGTACCGTAGCTATGCGACTGTGCTGTGCCATTGTGATGTGTCCAGATAACAAATGTAGGCAAAGAGTGGTCCACGCAGAGCGAGCTTCGAAGCCTCAAGCTCAAATATGGGTAAAGATGTCGCTGGTCTGCCGCTGGCGTGGCCTAAGAAGAGGGGAGGAGCCTGGGAGAGGGGAGGGGGAGGGGCTATTGCGGAGCGATAATGGCGAGGTGCGCGGAGGGGCGCGCGCCGGGAAGCAGGCACGGAGGCTGCGGGCTCCTATTTCAGTTGCTTTGTCGGAGTACAGATGGCGCTAGGAGCGCGCTGTCGCTAGAGTGCCTTCATGCACACGCGCGCTTTTGCTTGAGTGGTGACATCTCGGTCATTTTTCCGCCCAATCTTTTTTTGTGCATTTTGAAGTGCGCGCAATCCGGTGTCACCCAGCTCGAGCGCGTAGCTTTGGCTAATGCATAGACGCCATTTTACCGCCCAAGTCACGCACCGAGTGCGCGAGAGCGTCACACGCTAGCACATTCAGGTCAACAATGGATGTCTTCACCCTGAGACAGACAGACATATAGGCACCCTAGCTGTCGCGTGGAGTGGGGGAGACTGGGCAGACGGGCGCAGCAACGACGCGGACACCTCTTTGAGTTGCTTTGTCAGAGTACAGATGGCGCTACGAGCGGCGCAGCGCGCACGCACTAGCGACGCCGGCATGTTGTCGCAGCCCTGTCGTGACGGCTCTTACGGCGCGCCGCCGTGTTTCGCTTGCTTTTGACGGCTCTGCACTCGGTCGCGCGTCGTCGCTCTCTGGGCGCGCTTATGGCGCTGGTCACTTGATGAACTCGCGCTCGCTTTTCTGCGCGCTTTTAAACTGCAGATGACGGGGCTCTGTAGCGCTTTTGAGTGTACACATTTGAAAAGTGATGGCAGTGAGGTCTTGTGAAAGTAATTCGGAATACGTAAAACAATCCCTGATTGATAGACAGTTTGACGTCTATTTTTAGGTTATTGGTTGTCGTATCAATACTGCTTTTCTCC